TAAACACTTTGTACAAAATCAGTTTAGCTTTAACTGATCATAACAAACTAAGACTAAACTTGTACAAACAGAAGTTAAATATATTTACATTTAAAACACAAAGCACAACTAGCTTTAAGCATTAACCTTTCATTTAATCATTAATGTAATTACGACAGAAAATGGAGGATTTACCTGCAGTTCGTACAGACGAGCATGTGGTACTTCCTGTTTATCACTCTTGTATTCAGCTGCTCATGAGGTCGCCCACCCGCCTTTATCCATCTTTAATATTTTTCCAGACTCAGTTTAGGTTTAGGAAATAAATAAACTGTATTCCACCCTCTAAACGCTCGCTGTCTGAATTACATGTTCTCCACTGACAACATTTAACCATTTTTTCTGATGATTTTTGCGCTTGTAATGCAAAACACCAATAACGTTGTCGGAGCAAAGGGGGTGGAGCTCCTGCAGGTAAGGGGCGTTCACTTTGGGACAAATTGAGATCGCTGATTGGTCAGTTGCTGACAAGCCTGCTGGACTGATTGACAGGAGGCATCGAGGCGCTGACACGTGCAAAAAAAAAATCATAGATTTTACTGGCCATTTTAAGTGTCATCATTTATTCCATATTTATTTAATATTTTCATGAATCTAATGTTTGAGAACTGAGTTTCCTTACAAAATCCTAATAATGGTTTCTTTATTTTTCAGGGGGGCTGAGTTAAAATTTAGGGGTGCTTGAGCACCCCCCAAAAAGAGGCTAAAACCACCACTTTTTCCAACAGTAATGTAAAATTGTTTAGTTACGTTCAGCATTTAACAATAAAGTTTCAAGGAGCAGCAACACAGATGTAGGTTACAATAATTAGAGCAGCTTTAGAAATACCTGAATGCGTTAAATACTTTGGACTTTGTTGTTATCATAGTATTACATTTAATAATAAAAATAATTCTAAATTTATGTGGCGAGATATTTATAAGTTATCATTTGCATAAAATGCAATGAAATCTTTGAGACTTAAGTCGTTTTAAGACAGCACCAATAAACTTTGCTTTCCCTGCTGGTTTTAGTTTTTAGCTTGTCAGAAATAAACTCTATTTATGGGAATATACAATGATGACAACACATAACACATTATTATTATTATTATTATTATTATTATTATTATTTATCCAGACTGAGGTTGTTCAAAAAGCTGTCTGCAACACAACAGGTAAGATATTTATTGCTCACAACCTTTCCAAAAAAGAGATCTGAGTGTTGTAATGTGTTTTCTTTGCCTTATGGGTGAAAAGATGAAAACAACAACAAACTGAAACAGAGAAGAAGGCGTCTCTGACATGGCAGCAGGCTGAAATGCCAAAAACTAGAAACAATTATCCACATCAGCTCATAAAAGATTTGTACAGAAGCAAGAATCTGTTGTCTGTTTGCTCTGTGCTTTTATTGTGGTGGGACAGAATCTAGAGGTGAACCCAGCAGCAGTAAATCTGACAGACACACAGCACATTACAGAATCTGCACTGACCCAACGACCTGCACTGCAGCTTTTTGGTTTTCTGCCATTAAATTCAGTCAGGCCTTAAAGTGGATGCATTTTCTGAAACAATGCTGCCCTCTAGTGTTCATAAACAGATGTGCACTGCAGGGAGCTGGGTGTGTGTGGTGTAGGTCAGCTTTCTCATAGCAGTCAGAAAATTTCCAAACACTTTTCAGTACAAAATAAAAAAGAAAGTTTGTTTTACTTGAAAAGAATAAACTAATTACAATGCCACTCGAGAAACATACCCAAAACTTTACTTGCCAAACAGAAATAGCTCTTTTTATAAACACTGCACTGAGTTTACATTACTCATTATTTTCCAGATATTTGTTTCAAAGTGATGTTTTTATTGTAAACCTGGGTTCTAGTCATTTCTAAGGTAATGGTGTTTCCTTTAACAATATCAGGAGATGAGAGTTCTGCTGATGGGCCTTAAAAATACTCAAACTGTGACAATCTTGAATTTGTCTTTTGAGAACCAAAAGTCATGTTGACGGTGCATTTTTTATGTTGCTTTGAGGTGGATATAAATAAAATCATATACTGTATTCAGATTTTACTAGAGTGGAAATATTCTAACAAACAAAAGACAAAAAATAAGAAAATACATTTTAAAATGAGCAGAGCAGTTTGAGTGGGCATATTTAGTATATTTTCCATTAAAATTACAATAAGTATTAGAACAATATATCTTAGGAGAGTTTTATTTGTGTTTATTTTATGAAATCAACAATCAGCATTTACAAAACGGATTCCAAAAAAGTTGGCACACTAAACAAATTGTGAATAAAAACTGAATGCAATGATGTGGAGGTGCCAACATCTAATATTTTATTCAGAATAGAACACGAATCACAGATCAAAAGTTTAAACTGAGAGAATGTATCATTTTAAGGGAAAAATCTGTTGTTTCCAAATTTCATGGCGTCAACAAATCCCAAAAAAGTTGGGACAAGTCCATTGTTACCACTGTGTGGCATCCCCCCTTCTTCTTACAACACTTAACAGACGTCTGGGGACAGAGGAGACCAGTTTCTCAAGTTTAGAAATAGGAATGCTCTCCCATTCATGTCTAATACAGGCCTCTAACTGTTCAATCGTCTTGGGCCTTCTTTGTGGCACCTTCCTCTTTATGATGCGCCAAATGTTCTCTATAGGTGAAAGATCTGGACTGCAGGCTGGCCATTTCAGTACCCGCATCCTTCTCCTACGTAGCCATGATGTTGTGATTGCTGCAGAATGTGGTCTGGCATTATCGTGTTGAAAAATGCAGGGTCTTCCCTGAAAGAGATGACGTCTAGATGGGAGCATATGTTGTTCTAGAACCTGAACATAGTTTTCTGCATTAATGGTGCCTTTCCAGACATGCAAGCTGCCCATGCCACAAGCGCTCATGCAACCCCATACCATCAGTGATGCAGGCTTCTGAACGGAGCGTTGATAACAACTTGGGCTATCCTTGTCTCCTCTGGTCCGGATGACATGGCGTCCCAGTGTTCCATAAAGAACTTCAAATCGTGACTCATCTGACCACAGAACAGTCTTCCATTTTGCCACACTCCATTTTAAATGACCCCTGGCCCAGTGCAAACGTCTGAGCTTGTGGAGCTTGCTTAGAAATGGCTTCCTCTTTGCACTGTAGAGTGTCAGCTGGCAACGGCGGATGGCACGGTGGATTGAGTTCACTGACAATGCTTTCTGGAAGTATTCCTGAGCCCATTCTGTTATTTCCTTGACAGTGGCATTCCTGTTTGAGGTGCAGTGACGTTTAAGGGCCCGGAGATCACGAGCATCCAGTAGAGTTTTACGGCCTTGACCCTTACGCACAGCGATTGTTCCAGATTCTCTGAATCTTTTGATGATGTTATGCACGGTTGATGATGATAACTTAAAAGTCTTTGCTATTTTACGCTGGGTAACACCATTCTGGTATTGCTGCACACACTTTCTGCGCAACAATGGTGGAATTGGTGATCCTCTTACCATCTTGGCTTCTGAGAGACACTGACACTCTGAGAAGCTCTTTTTATACCCAATCATGTTGTCAATTGACCTAATTAGTGTTAATTGGTCTTCCAGCTGTTCGTTATATGCTCAATTTCCTTTTTCCAGCCACTTATTGCTACTTGTCCTAACTTTTTGGGGATTTGTTGACACTGTGAAATTTTGAATCAACATATTTTTCCTTTAAAATGTTACATTTACTCAGATTAAACTTTTGATCTGTCATCAATGTTATATTACGAATAAAATATTGACATTTGCCATCTCCACATCATTGCATTCAGTTTTTATTCACAATTTGTTTAGTGTCCCAACTTTTTTGGAATCCGGTTTGTGCAATATATAACTTTTTATAAAGCACAGCCTTAAAGACTCGGGTGTATTTACTAAACACGTAGTTGTTCGTATGTTTTATAAATTTAATAAATTTATTTCAATAAATGTTTGAGAACGATTGTAACACAACCTTTACCTGCTCAGTTTAAACTCTGCTGTAGCTGAACATGCTCCATAAAACAATAAAAGTGATTGTGCAACCATTTTTATGTTTCAGCTAAGGTTCAAAATGTTTAATGATTTACAGCCAGAACCCACATGTGAGCTGGAAGGTGACAAGGCCAGAAGAATACACACACACACACACACACACACACACACTCGGTCGTTTATTTCCCAAAAATATTCAAGTTTTACAAAGAAATGGGTGTAATAAAAACTTTGTTGATAAAAAATAATAATCTTAATAACAATATTTATATATTTGTATATATAGAAAGAGAGAAATTTTAAAAGTTTATTTGTAACGTTCTGGTTATTATTTCCTTTTTAAAAATAATTGAAATAATTTGCCAGTTTTCATTGTGTCTATACACTAAGTGTGCATATGAATAAAATAAACATGTCATTAAAATCATTTTTTATTGTCTTATTTAAAAATATATATTATACTGATTTAAACAAATAATTTAAATTCTTAATCACACAATAGGATTTTGCACATAACAAAACACTGATTATTATTATACTACTTTGATTAAATCAAATATTGAAGATAAAATGTCATTTGGATAAAAAAAACATAAAATTATCTTTAGTGGATTTTAAATTATGCTTGTAAATTTGAGTTTTACATAGATAAACTTTTCTATGAAGTTTTTTTTAAGTGTACTAAAATTAATTTAGTAATTATTTAATAAAAAACGAATAATACAACAATATATTTTAAAAAAAAAATAACACCATAATATCCTTTTATTATTGTTGTTGTCAACTTTATTTGAAATGAGAAAGCGCTTCAGGTGAGAAGTGAAACGTCTTTTGTTACAAATAAAGTCCAATTGTTTTTTGTTTTTAACTTTTTATTTGATTATTTTTACTTTTTTGAATTTATTTGGAGCAGTTGTGCCATGTTAAAGATAATTTTATTTTGAAATCCAGAACCACACATCCGGTTCCGGCGTCGTCTAACCTGCGCCATCTTGACCAACAGGTATCTGCTGCTACTGACCATCGGACCATCGAGCTGCCGCTGACCCTCCGTCCTCCTCTCGTGTACCCCGCAGGCAACATGGCGCTGAGCCGCCTGGAGAGAGCTCAGACGTGGCTCTTCCGGACGGTCACGGGCTTCTTTTTCATGGTTTTTCAGTTCTTCTCCCCTCGGAGAGCCGCTGCGAAGAAGCTGCCGCCCGTCAGCAGCCCGCTGCTGCTCCTGTCAGCGACGCAGCTCGCCAAGAAGATCCGGCGGAAAGAGGTGCGCAAAGTTTTAGCTTGTTGGTGGAAGAAAGCTTCATGCTAGTGGTCGTCATCATCCCCACAAACTGACAGCTGTGAGAACCTGCGCTGCCACGCAGTTTTAGAATGAAAGCAGCTGAAACTATTTCTATTTATAAAGTTGAGTTATGCTTCTGCAGCTGTTTAGATGCAACAACAGCTGAAGGACATGTCTCATGTGTTTCAGCTGATGTGCGAGCTGCGTATTATGTGAGTCAGCATCAAATCATCCCCCCCCCCCACCACCACCAAACTGTTTATTGTTTAAATTAAACACAATTTAAATCTAGAGAAAATGCATTTCTTGCGAAAATGCAGTGTGAATGCTTAAAGCAGAATAACTTGTTGAAAACAGCTGAAATGTAGCTGAACTGGAAGAACGAGCCCAAATTAGCAGAAGAAAGCAGAAAGAACACACATTTGCTGGATTAGGGTTAAATAAGTAGAAATGGGCACAAGAATGAGTTAATTAGCTAAAGAAAAGCTGAAATTATCAACAATTTAAAAAAAGCTGAAAACTAGCTGAAAAGTCAGAAAGTAGCCTAAATTACCAGAAGGAAGTGGAGAGAGCAAAAAAAGGTGCCAATTTAGGCTGAAAGAAGCAGAAATTGGCACAAAAAAGTGGAAATTATCTGAAAAAGGCAGAAGTTAGCCCCCCCAAAAGAAAAAAAAAAACGCTGAAAAGTAGCTAAAAATGCAGAAATAAGCTTAATTACCAGAGGGATGTTGAGAGAGCATATTTAATTAAGATGAAAAAACTTGAGTGCAAAAAATGTTGCTGAAAACGCTAAAAATTTTAATCTAAACAGCTAAATAGTAGCTGAAATAGCAGAAGAAGCTTAAACTAGCAGAACAAGCTGAAGTTTGCAGAAATGCAGCTGAACTGGAAGAACGAGCCCAAGTTAGCAGAAGAAAGCAGAAAGAACACACATTTGCTGAATTGGGGTTAAATAAGTAGAAATGAGCACAAAAATGAGTTAATTAGCTAAAGAAAAGCTGAAATTAGCTGAAAAGTCAGAAAGAAGCCTAAATTACCAGAAGGAAGTGGACAGAGCAAACTTGTGCCCAGTTAGGCAGAAAGAAGTAGAAATTATGTGAGAAAGGCAGAAATTAGCAAAAAAAAACAGCTGAAAAGTACAAAGTAGTTTTAAAAGGACAGAAATAAGCCTAATTACCAGAAGGAAGTGGAGAGAGCACGTTTTTGCTGAATTAGGCTGAAAAAAGTTTAAATGAGTACAACATATGTGGAATTATCTGAAAATGCTAAAAAAAATGCATGTAAACAGCTATATAGTAACTGAAATAGCAGAAAAAAGTTTAAAGTAGCAGAACAAGCTAAAAATGTGCAGAAAGAAGTTAGAAGCAGCACAAAAATGTTGTAGTTAGAAGAAAGACTCCAAACGGAGCACAAAACAGCTGAAAAAAACAGCTGAAATTAGCTGAAAAAATGTTTGAATTTGCACAAGGAAGCTGAAAGCAGCTGAAGCAGAACAAAATGTGAAAGGTTGTAAACACATCTAAAGATTTGAAGGATGGAAAATGAGCTCAATTCATTTTCTATGAGGAAAAAGTGGCAGAAAAGGCTAAAATATTACAAAAAGCTAAAGTTGCACCAATACCAAAAGTCACAGGAGGATGGTCCTGAACGAGCTGAAAGTTTTGATTTATGATTTGTTGAAATAGCTCAAAAATGATGGAACGAGAAAGATGCTGAAAAACATACGGAAGAACAACGGATCATAATAGAGTGAATGCTTCATAAACATTCATTATTCATCACGTCTCAATATTTTTACGAGTTACTTCATCATCAGACGTCGGTTCTGGAAATGTTTATGTTAAAATAATGTTTCTAACTCCCAGTGTTTCAGAGTCTGTAGTTTGTTTTGCTTGTTGTTTTGCAGTTGTGCGCCTCTGTGCGTCCTGCACCGTTTAAAAGTTGTGTTTCTGCAGGTGTCGAGTGTGGAGGTGGTGCAGGCCTACATCGACAGGATCCAGGAAGTGAACCCGTTTCTGAACGCTGTCGTAAAAGACAGGCAAGAACTAACTCTGTCTCGGTTATAGTTTTAGAGTTTTCACTTTGAGGCCTAACCTAAACGTTTTTTAAGATTTAAACAGAAGTGGGTCAAATAATATGTTTGTTTGTTTGTTTGTTTGTTGTCCAGGTTTGCTGCCGCCCTCCAGGAAGCAGCTCAGGTTGATAAGCTCATTGAGGAGGAGACGGGTGGAGAGGAGGTGCTGGAGGACCGGCTGCCTTTACTAGGAGTCCCGCTGTCAGTCAAAGAGTCCTTTTCCCTCCAGGGTAACTTCCTGAAACCAGATCCTCCTTCTGCCGCCTTGGTTACAAACGTTTGAGTTGACATTTGATCCGTTACTGTTATAAACTTCCACGCCCTCCAACACACTCTGTGAAACTGGGAGCTTCACATGGTTGAAATTCCTCTTAGCGCTCGACCTGTTCTCGTCTTGCAGGCATGCCCTTCAGCGCAGGCCTGGTGTCCAGGCGGGGAGTGGTGGCCTCCGTGGACTCTCCACCCGTGGCCCTGCTGAAAAGAGCGGGGGCCATCCCTCTGGGCGTCACCAACACCAGCGAGCTGTGCATGTGGTGGGAATCAAACAACCACGTGTACGGCATCACCAGCAACCCGTACGACCTGGAGAGGATACCAGGAGGAAGCTCAGGTCAGTGATGCTGCTGAATGGAACGAATCAGAAACCATTAAAGCTTTCGTCTCACAGCTTTGAAGGGATAGTTGAAATATTTTGACTTTAGGTTTACACTATAAGTAAAAAGTATCTTAAACAACCTTATTTTGGGAAAAAAAAAAAAAGGGTTTAATTCTGATTGGACTGATCAGCCAACCACTAATTTGAGTGGATCTTCCATCTTAAAATGTTACCTACAACAAGTAAGATGTTAACGACTCATACTCATGTCACTGAACCTCAGTTTAAACTAGAGAAACTGCATTTCCTGAAAGAATGCAGTGTGAATGCTTATTGCAGAAGAACTTGCTGAAAAACAGCTGAAATTAGCTAAAAAAAAAAAACATGCTGAAATGGAAGAACAAGCCTAAATTAGCCGAAGAAAGAACACATATTTGCTGAATTAGGTTTAAATAAATAGAAATGAGCACAAAAATTATGAAATTAGCTAAAAAGCTGAAATTAGCAACAACAAAAAAATGCTGAAAAGTAACTGAAAAGGAAGAAAGAAGCTTAAACTACTAGAAGGAAGTGGAAAGAGCTGAAATTAACTAAAAAAATGTAGAATTAGCTGAAAAGGCTAAATTTAGCATGAAACAGCTAAATAGTATCTGAAGCTAGCTGAAAGGAGCATAACAAGCTAAAATTACCATAAAGAAATTAATTAGGCTGAAAGTAGCAGAAATCACCACCAAAAACTTGAATTTATCTGGAAGCAGCTGAAATTAGCTAAACAATGCTAAAAAGTTAGCTGAAATAATAGAGCAAGCTTAAATTAGCAGAAGAAAGCAGAAAGAACACGTTTGCCCAATTAGGCTGAAAGAAACAGAAATTAACACAGAAAAGTAAAAATGATCTGAAAAAAGCTGAAATTAGCAACAAAAAAAAAAAAAACAGCTTAAAGTATGGTAGCTAAACAAGCCGAAAGAAGCATATATTACCAGAAGGAAGTAGAGGGAGCACATTTTGCTGAATTAGGCTGAAAAACGTTGAAATTAGTGCAAAAAATGTAGAATTGGCTAAAAAAGCTAAAATTAGCATAAAGCAGCTAGCTGAAAGCTAAAATAGCAAAAATAGCTGAAACTTGCAGAAATCAACTGAAAGGAGTAAGAAGAAGCACAAAAATATTCTAGTTAGTGGAAAGAATCTGAAAGGAGCACAAAACAGCTGGAAAAACAGCTGAAATCAGCTGAAAGTAGCTGAAAAATGTAAAAATTTGCACAAGGAAGCTGAAAGAAGCTGAAGCAGAACAAAATGTGAAAGGAGCAGTAAAAGGTTGTAAACGGATCTAAAGATTTGAAGGATGTAAAATGAGCTCAATTTATTTTTTATGAGGAAAAAAAAGGCAGAAAAGGCTAAATATTTCAAAAAGCTAAAGTTGCACCAATACAAGTCATAGCAGGATTGTCCTGAACGAGCTGAATGTTTTGATTTATGATTTGTTGAAATAGCACAAAAACTGTGGAACGAGAAAGATGCTGAAAAATGTACAGAAGAAAGTAGAAGTGACAATAGCATTCACACAAATATCTGAACTATTTAGCGTGAGACTACAACTGTCCTGGCTGCTGGTTCATGTCTTCTTCTGTCCCTCTGTCTTCTGTCCTCAGGGGGGGAGGGCAGCATATTGGGAGCAGCAGGAGCGGTCATCGGCGTGGGCTCCGACATCGGAGGCAGCATCCGCATGCCGTGTTTTTTCAACGGGATATTTGGCCATAAAACCACTCCAGGTTAGAGACGCTGCAGGTGACGTCCCTACGTGAGCTCTTTTACTAAACGTCCACTCGTCTCATGGAAACGTCTGTGAAGCGGTTTAACCTGTAGAGGATCAGCTCGATGTAGAGGCTGACTCACCTGGGGTTTGTTCGCTTCCTGCCACACCTTCAGCCGGCCGTGGAGCCGTTTTCATTTTATGGCTGGAGAAGTGGCTGCTGCTGGTCAGTGAAGCTTTTAGAAACCTGAAAAAAGTTCTTCAGGGAGTGGACAGTCCTCCATGTTGTCTGGTTAACAGCTTCAAAGCTAAAGAAGAGAGACTGTTCCGACCACACAGGTTGCAGCGATCCTGTGAAGCCTCGGCATGTTGTACAGCAGTCCCTCGTTTATTGTGGGGTTAGGTTCCACACACACAATAAGTGAAAATCCGCAAAGTAGCAACATCATATTTAGTATTTATAGATATTTTAAGGCTTTAGAAACTCTTCCCACACTCTTGCAATGTTCTAAACTCTTAAACCTACGTCACTGGGGGGAGTGGTGGCGCAGAGGTTAGAGAAGGTGGGCCTGTGATCGGAAGATCGCCGGTTCAAGCCCCGGCACCAACAGCATCAAAAATGTGGGTGGGGTAGGTGAAGCACCCACACCTGCCCCCACCCTCATCCGCCCCACCCTGGGCCCATGAGCAAGGCCCTCAACCCCCATCTGCTCCCCAAACAGGTCTCTTTTGAAAAAGAGTTCTCGTGGCTCAATGAGACTACCTGGATAAATAAAGGCTAAATGAAAAAAAAAAATTATGTAACAACTTACGTTTATGTAGCTACTAAATTTTTCCAGCTCTGCAGAACAGCAACAGCTCTCGGTTCTGGTCCGACTCGCTTCGTTTCTGCAGACCAACCCTGCAGCAACGACGCCCACGATCAATGTTCTAAACTCTTAAACCTACTAATTTTAACAACATACTTGTATGTAGCTGCTAAAATTTACTTACCAGCGCATCCCCGCTCGGAGGTCCTCGTGAGCTGGCTACCAGCTCTCAAGATTCACTGATGTGTCTGGAGGTCCAGTTCTGTTCCGGTTCGGTGGGTTCTGTGCGGCTCTCTGTACGCGCTGGGCGCCGAAGTCGCTGTAATAAGCTCCGAACTTTTTCCATCAGATCAAAAATTTCCGTCTAATATTTCAGCAGAAGGAAATGGGGCTTCTGGCCAGGGACCCTGTTGGCTTCTGGGAAATGTAGTCGTTATGAGCGGGGGATACAGTGTAGGCTTATTGTGAGAAAACTAGAAAATGGCGGCACCTGTCCGAAATATTTTATTTTTTCGTTAAATTTGTACTGTACAGTATCCTGTACTGTCCCAGTCATGTGAGTAATATTAGTAATATGATTAATACTATAAAAATGAGTAATATTTGTAATATTAGTAATATGA